TTAAGGCTGAAATGCAAACTGCTGCTGCTTAGAAATTCTTTTTTTTCTCGGCTTAGGTTTCTGGATTATCAAGCGACCGGCGAGTTTTGTATAACTTCTGGCTGCCAATGTACAAGGGTTACTGGAGGTCATCCCTGGAAGAACGGTTGGATGTCTTATAAATCAAACTGCAGTGGAGGGGGAGAATAATCAAGCATGGGGATATTATTAAGATGATGGTATCACTGCAGGGTATTGACCTATGGACTAGTATATGGAGTGCTATAGTATCGGGGTTATCCGATGCAATGTATTTATTTAGTTAATACACGAAACAGGGGCCATGCATGATTGTATAATAACTATGTAGGTCTTAATCGATCCCTGGAAGCCGACCCCGATGGAGTGAATTTCCATTTGCATGTCCTAGTTTCAAGCGCAATGTAAGCCCCAGTTTATTTTTACAGCACTGTGCAACAGAATCTGCTGGAATGCAAGTTCTTCGTAAGAATCTGACAGGTCCCGAAATAGCAGGTTGTCATACAGAACTTCCGCAGAACAAAGAAGCAGAGAGGGAGTTCACATAGACTGTGGTGAGTTCGTATTATGTTTAAGAAGACAGACATAATTATAGCCGTGATATCATGCCAAGATTACACCATGTGGCTTTTTTATTTTTCTGACGGGTTTCTGATACCGTCCGACACTTTGTTAGATACAGGGAAGTGGGGTGGGAAGAACGGGTGCCGTCTTACACCCTCCATATGGAGACCCATTCTAGCGGGCGGGCACATGATTTGGTCGACGCGCGATGATGGCTTAGTAAATTTCTAAATTAGAGGGAGACTATAGGCTACGGTTTTATTATTAGATGTCTTGGAATTCCATTTGCACGCGATCGAATGCCCGGTTCTTCGATCTGTTGGCTCTTCGATGGGCTCTCTTGTACGACCTCCGCTGCGACAAGAATGAAAGGAAATCACGAATACAGCCTCTCGGTCACCTGAAGGGCTACTTCGTATGGAGGGAATGGATCAGTAAACAAAGGATCGAGATCTACGAGATAAGAGTCATCGGAGCTGGACATGCAGAACCCGAAAGAGCGGAAAAATAATCGTCAAACGTGAGAAGCCGGGCCAAAAAACGCCCCAAGACCGCCAGTTTCCTTACCAGCATAGGGCTAAATGCACTCAGTGACCGGCAGAAAGGGCGGTGGGATCATTTGGGATGGGAAAGTCAAAAAGGAAACCCAGCAAGTGGCTTGCATGATCTACAGGTATTTCGCCAGTCTGACTGGTGGACCAAGACTTGAGGCTCGGAATATTAACCTACCAGAAGTCAGCCTCGAGCTTGCCCATGGTCTCAGCTGCGAAAATCAATACGGGGTCGCTGGTTCGTTTGGGGGCCGGATCGACCACACGTGTTATGTATGGGATTTTTACCCTGTCAGTTTGAGAACGCTGACAGGTGGCAAATGTCTGAATCTATTTATTGATCCCTACAGTATGTGTAATCAACGATGACTGGTGGATTATTGGCCTGGTGTTTTTATGTTCTGACGTTTGTCGTGAAGGGTTTTGGGTGAAGGGTGTGTGTCGCCAGGCAATAAGGCGGCACTCGACCACCTGAGGCACGGTCAAACTCTACCATCCTAAAAATGGAATAACGTCCACAAGACTTAATGGAGATAGGTGTTGATTCACAGTAGAATACAAACAGGCGATCTAATAGCATCTGCCAAACCAAAGGAATATAATGAAAATAAAGCAGGCTCAATATGCCCCACGATCCATAAGTTCCGGCCTTAAGCGAGGCTCTCTTCGGCTGCAAGCAAGTATAGTCCAGCTATACTTTGACTTGCAGCGGCCCCATGGGCCCATCGCAAAACTCAAACATCACAAAATTCGAGACGCTCTAATCGCTCAAGTCTATGCACCTCATGCACGAAAATCATATCCGAAGAGAACAAAAAAACAAAAATAAGAAGCCCCGAGACTCCCTCACCCATGTATGTTCCTGCCGTGTCATGCTTATAAAGAAATCGCTCAGATAGCCATTAAAAACGCGTTGCTGTCGTAAGATCCCGTCTCCACATCGAAGCATCGTAAATAGAACACTGTACGGAAACATGTCAGCTTCAAAATGCCACACTAGTATCCACTCTGTGAACTCTTACCTCAATCAGTCGAAGTGTTCTAGATCATTACTTGACAGGGCGGCAGTCCGAGCAGGCAGTGTGTTGGCATATAACACATCGAGGCTGGTTGCTGTATAGCTTGGGTCCATCGTTGCACTGGCAGCAAATGTAAAGGTACCCATTGGTTCTAACATGGCCAGAGAGGCCGTGGAGAGAGTTGTCCGGCACGTTCACATAGGACATGGATGGCCGAGGAACCAAGGAATCGTCGTCCATGAGAGATGAGACTGATGCGAGAGAGCTGACTGAGTCTCTTCGCTCCATGCGAGCAGAGACTTGAGAGAATGGCGACATCTCGTGGTAGCAAGGCATTATGTTGTTTTCAGATGTTCTGTTTGGGATAGTTGGTATTATTGTGGCGGCGAGAGATGTTGGCGCTGCAGAATATGAAGTTGTGTTCGACAGAGGTCTGGTAGCTAGAGACAACGAAGGACAAGACTCAATAGATATAGACTGAAGCGAACAATGTATGTAGTGATCAGTGGAAGTCAAAGTGTTTGTTGTTAATGGAGATTCAAATGGAGTGAGGGTCTCTGTGTTTAAATAGAACCAGAAGACGAGAATGATGAATCACTCTGACAATGACAAGGCAGTCTTTTGCCCTGAATAGTGTGGCTTCGACATATCAGGCAAGCCCCAGGCCACAGCTCTGCCCCAATCGGGGCTAAAACCAAATTACCTCAGTCATCAGGTAAGGGTAATCTTCTGCAAAACGAAGGGGCCGTTTAGCAAGTAGATCCAAAAAGTGGCTTGGCAGGCTAGTACTTTGGCCCTGAGGGTCCGGGCCGTTATGTGTCTAGATCTCTTTGAGTGACGTTCATCAGCATTCTGAATCATAGCTCTGGTATACTGGTGGCCTGAGAAGAAGAATCAAATGCGAGTTTGCAGCAAGTTGACTCAGTTTGTCCTCGGGGTTCGGCTGGTTGTCTTCCAAAAGGCGGAATACCAGCAAGGCTTGGGCACTTGATTTTGCCCGTTCATACCCGCCATTCCTCCAGTAACTGTGCAGTTTTAATCTGGTTGATTTATTTAATTATTTTTTTTTATTGCTAGGGTGTTTTTCATTTCGTGCTGTTAATTACCCCCTCTTGGCTTCACAAGTGGGTGCCCGCAGACTATGCATAGCCTGGATGAGATGCTTGAACGGGCAAAGTGTTTGGATCCACTTTGGAACTATGGGGACTAGACTAGGCAAGGTACCTGCGATTCAAGGCAACGACCGCCCGGAGCCTCAGGTCACTCCAGCAGCCCAGCTCAGCACTGATGTTCTGCCGCAGTCTTAAGCCTTTTGGCTCTTACCGTCACTTTTAACCCGTTCTGGGAGTCCACCACGGAAAAGACTAGTGTTTCTGTCGGTCAAGCAGTCGTCTTTCAGCTTCCGACTAAGCCAGGCATCCCTGTTTGCTGCCTGCTATAGTCCTCAGGCAATCCACGTGCGGATCTGGTATGACGCCCAACACGAAGAATGACCGAATAACTAAAAATTGATTCATTACTCGACGAGGAAATGACTCTTTGTGTTTGCTCCATCTTGCAAGGGCCTTTTCCTCGCTCCCTCCGTCTCTGTCTCTGTCGTTCTTTCTTTCCCTCCTTTCCTGCTGTCTTGTTCCTGTCTCCTTAATTACTACCTACCCCCCACCCCCACCTTTCCTCTATTTTTGCAACTGAAATATTGCATCGACTGTCCCGACCTCCAGCCTCAAGGTGCCATACCACATCGATCAAGCAAAAGATACTGACCACCAATCCTGATACTGCTTTACGTTGATACCTATTACCTGGAAAGGCAATACTATTTTGGAACTGCTTCAAAATCCTGCATCATGCGGGAAGCTTATAATTACTCACATCCACTGTGGATCACCACACAAGTTGACATCCCGTTATTCTCCAAGGCTACAGCCGCTCCAACTGCTATACAGTACCACGTTGAATAAGAGGCACCTCTTGAGGCCCGGCCAAACGGTACGTTTCATGTCCCATATAAAGTTCGCATATTCCCGTCCAGATGACGTTCGCATAGCGTCTTTTCGTATTGCTACAAACTCATAGGCAGAAACTTTGAAGCCTCCTAAAGGCATACCTGGTCAAAGTGCGCGATTTAATAGTTTTGCAAAGAAAATGTTAGGCAATGCTTGGATGGTGGGTATGGGAATCGCTATCCCATCTTAGAGAAGGCCAGTGCTCATGAGAGAACGACAGCAAAACTAACATCATCACCCTGCAGGATTCTCGACGTTGGCCACATGGACAATGTGACCAAGAAATTGGTGTAATGCTAATGCTGCCGCTAGGATCCTCAAGCCGCCATTCTCTATGTTGGCTGTGTACGGATAGCCATAGAAAGATTTTCAGTATGGATTGTAGCGACAGGTCGAGATCTCGATTAGATCGTAGATTGTAAGATGAAACTAAAAATCGCTTGTCATCATGTGACAGCACATGACGACGTCATGTATAGAGTTTGACAAGTTTGCAACAGCTGGCTATCACGTTCCTGATGATGGACAGCAACAACGTCACTTTCGTCCCCCTGTCGGCCATATTTCTACAGCTAGCCCGAGGCTTTCATCTTTCCGACCGATAGTGCCTCCTGTGGCGGCTGTATATACATGTTTCCCCATTTTTGTATAGATACAGTTCAGATTCAATCCGATACTCATCCGTCCTACTACTCCTCAATGCAGAGGCAATTTCAGCCCTTTTACCATTAATCTCCGATGGCGCGTCCAGACAGGCGCGTCAGTTTAGCGGTAGCTAGGATCATACCTCTGGTGCTACTCTGTACTCTCATTTATGCCTCCTACGCTGTTACAAAACCACTATGCAGTCAGTTCCCCCTATTCGGAAATCAACGGTGATACTAATACCCTCTTCGAATACAGTCGACTACCTCATTGCCCCTCTACCAAAGTATAATCGCAGTTCTAGAGTTGGTGCTGGAATCGCCATAATTGTTGTATATTATGTTTTACTCACACTGGTGGTTATTACATATCTTCGGCTGCTGTACAATGTCATTTGGAACCCGGGCTTCCTACAACGAGGCTCTTCATATCTTCCTGATCAGCAGGATGCCGAAGCGCCGAACCCTCATCGCCGAGACAGTAAACGAAGGAGGAAAAGCCATCGAAAGCGGGCAACAGCCGAGAAAGCCGACACATCGGATGAGGTAGACCTCGAAAGGGGCGTCGGCCACAACGCTGAAGGGAAAGCGTTCCCCCTGAATGCAGAAGGGTTAGAAAACTTTTATACGAAAGACGTCTTTATCTGCCAGCCAGATGGAAGGCCTATATATTGTTCCACTTGTTGTCAGTACAAGACAGACAGAGCACACCATTGCCGAGAAGTAGACCGGTGTGTTCGTAAGATGGACCACTTCTGTCCTTGGTAGGTTATGCTCCTCTTTTGGAAAGACATGGCGTTACTCACTACCACAAGGGTAGGGGGCGTGGTCTCGGAAACCTCATTTAAATTCTTCATTCAGTTTGTGTTTTACACATTCATCTTTTGCACATTTGCCCTTATTGTTTGTGCGATCTTCACAGCTGAACTCCGACGAGAGGTAAGAGCGCACCTTGTCGGTAAAACCGTTGTCCTGGGTCGACTAACTTTTTAAGATGGGCGATATCAACCCTCACTGGGCTGTTAGTATTGGATTGTGAGTCAACACAGCTGCGATTCCGGTCGACCCGTTGAATAATGATCTAATGGTTCACAGGAGTTGCCTTTTCGGAATCTTCTCACTTGGAATGACACTTAGCTCGGTACAACTTGCGATGTATAATCTGACGACGATCGAGAATCTGAATCGTCGGTCGGCAGTCTGGACCTTGGCTATACGTGTGCCCAAGCATATGCTTTCCAAGCTGGACCCTGAGTCCCGATGGGCCCCGACATTTCGTACAATAACTTATCCTTTACCGCCGATACCTCCAAGTACTGAGGCTACAGCAGAGCATCAACAATACCCACCCACAGGAGAACAGCATGTGTTTGCGGTTCTTCAGACACTCCCAGGCGAAAACCCTTTTGACCTGGGTACTTCTTTCAAAAACCTCCAACAGGTTTTGGGGTATTCTATACTTGACTGGTTGCTTCCTCTCAAGCAAAGCCCATGTGCGGACCACAGTAGTCTGGAAAGCGCTTTTGCGCTCGGGCCCGTGGTACATAGACTAAAGGCTGAGGCTGGACTTGAGCATCCCGTCGTTGCAGATGGCAAGCCTACAGATAGGTCATCGAAGCGTAAACGGAGACGAAGCAGAGCTGAGCAGCACAGTTGAGATACATTTTGGCTAATAATACTGGGAACATTGCGACGGTATATACCCATCATTATCATTATCATCATTATGCGGAGTTTTGGTCATTCTGGAAAATGCTCCATCCTCGTTCAAGCCCTTGACGATTTTGCTTTTTCTTTTTTTTCTTCTTTCGTCTTCTTGGAAACTTTGACAACGGAGCATTGGCATACTTGGACACGCAAACCTATCACTCAGAGCACACATATGTACATACTAATAAGAGCGAAGATTATCATTCATTCGAGGCCTACCGTGAAAAGGCGTTCTACATCTCCAAAACTGTAGATCTTAACCAGGTTTGTCTTCCACTTCAGTAGAGCTAAGAGGTGAAAGTGAAGGAAGTTATCACAATTATATACTCTATCGACGCCAACAGATAATGAGCATCTCTCTAATGACAACCCTTCAAGCAAAATAGATATCCCAACTTCATCCCCAATCTTACATGCCTACTATCGTATCAACAATACATCAACAACATCCCACCTAGACATTCTCTACTCTATCGTTAGATATCTAGCTATTTTCCAGGTAGCCCATCAAACCAGCCAAAGAACGCACACAAGGTATCTTGCTACAAACAGATACAAACAAACCAAATATATAGAAGGACAAAACTAGGGAAGCGGAAGGATCAAGGCAAACACAAGTACCATCCGGCCAATATCCGACTGCGATACCGAGTAATCGGCGATCTATACTCTCGGCACATATAGATCGGAACATCCCTTGCTCACGTGGTTCATTCCCAACTACGTCGGGTATCCTGGGTATTTCATCTAGCCCGTGTGGCTCAACATTGGCTTTGGAGGAAACAAATAAATCAAAAAGTATAGAGTTAACTTGGAGAAGGAGGGGGGCACTATGGAAGTCCGAAAGGAAACTGGTCGCATTGCATCATCAGTCTGCTTATTATACATTCACATTCCATACATCAGTCGTAGCAGATATATATATTGTACAAAGATAGAACCCGAAAGCATACCTAGAAGAGGTGGTTGAAAAGGAAAAGAAAGAAAAAGAGAATTCAACATGGACCATCAACATGAACAAAAGAGGTATCATAATATACAATAGCCTAGAGCCATTCTGTGCATGGCCTTTATCATATCGAAGTGCAGCAATAACATGCCTGGTGGTTGCAAACAGTGCACCGGCCGTGACTCAAGCCGGGATTATTCTCGGAGCCACATGAGCAGCATATCCACCATCCAGCCATGCTAGGCCTGGAGATGTCCTCGACATTCTGGGGAGCTAATGATGCGTGTTGTGCCATAGTAGATGTAGAAGTATAGGTGGCCGTCAGTGTTGGACGAAGTACTTGTTGGCTTGGCTTAGAGTTCTAAGGTGTATTAGGTATAAACAGGGAAGATATTATAAAAGGGGCTAAGTACCGATTGCGAGGAGATTATGCTTATCTTGCAGAAATGCTTCAAGACTGATACTATTTATATAAACATGTAGGTTCTGTGGTATAGTTTGATTTATGATGGGAGGGATAAATTAAGGAAAAGGTTTCGGTCGCTTTGAACTGACCTTATATGCCATCGTAGGATAAAGAAGGTGAACCACCGTTTGTTGCCCTTTTGGACCCTTCACCAGGGCTTTGCAGGGCACAAATCTGAATCCTTCTGCTAGTTTGCCCTTACCAAAAGACCTTTCTTGAGCCCGCCTGGTCTCCTTGAAAGATAGTAAGAGAACAGTCAACCCGCAGCATCCTGGGCTTGTGCCGTGTGGCCAAGATCGCGCCTGAGTACGTACCACTCAATGAAAATGCGAGTTCAAACGAGGCCTCAGGTGTTGAAAGTTTGCTACCTTCCGCGATGAAGCATCTGCTACACCTGGGGCAATGAAGCGCACCCCTGGCGATGTATGACACATGACAAGTACGTCATCACTAGCCTTAAGCATGTTGGCCCTGAGATGGGCTAACCCTAAGGCACATCCGTGGCTGAGTAGGGCAGTGGCTGATTGTGCAGTGTCAGTATACAATAATTGTACATCATTGGATACTTGTGCTTGCTATTCGAAGCAAGTTTTGATCGTAAAGGTTCGTTCACTCATCAGACATTTGCCATTCTAAGAGAGGCGGCACATTAGTGGAAGAGACCAAATGCGGGCGTAGGATATAAACTGTTGCGCAATGTCAACACTTGACAATAGCATTGTGACTCCTTGGTGTGAAACTTCGATAGGAAATGCTATGGCATTTGGGCGGTATTGTTGCATATGCAGAGTCCAAATTACCCCTTGACAGTATGTGAGGAACATACCCTTTAGCAATAGCTTCAGGCGTTTTATCCAAATAGAGCGTTTCATCATGCTGCCATCCCGTGTCAAGTGTGTGTTGTGGGTTCACTCTGGAACGTAACCTGGTCGCAGGTAGGACCCGGTCACCCTAATGAGTTACACACCTCGGTTATGAAGGGAGAAGTCGATCATGGCGGCGGGCGAAGACAAAAGAAATCCCGCATTCTCTTCACTCGGCCGGTGAAGCGTAAGGAAGCCAAAAGTGAGAAAAGTGAAGCGGACGTGTGGGTAACGGAGAGCAAAGGCTGTTTCAAGGCGACCGATGCCCAATACTGTTACCGGAAATCATCATGGTCAAGTAAGGGAGAGTCAATGATGCTCCACTACCATTCGGGCGTCCTGGTACTGAGACGGGAAGTGCCCGGTTGCCCGTGCTGAGCTCAGCCTTGGGAGTCTTCAATCACTGGCGAATCGATACCACAAGTTTACGCATAGACTTTGTTGTCATGATTGCGGGGTACTAAGAGGATCGGTTAGCATTGTATGTTGATTGATTATACGGATGATTGTCTACCCGCAAAGGTACGGTGCATATATGCATCCAGAAGACGGGAGGGTATCCTTCTAGAAATTCGCGTACTCCACACTTGGGTTCCTTAATCTTACTCCGGAGTACAGTATGCCTGAACCCACATGACATTCCGAGTGGCAGTACAGAGTCCATTCCATTGGATGATGTCATGGATGCAGTGCATCTTTCGGTGCGCTAACAAATGTTCAGCCGACGCATCGCTTGGCAGCCGGCAGGTGGAAAAGGTGGATACGGGAGAACGGGTGATTCGCCCGCGACACTTGGGCAATGGGGACTCTTTCCTCCCGAATCAAAAGTCAAAGTTTTGGATGACGCTGACGGAGGATGTGAAGTCTGCTCCGTCGACTTCTGCGATATCTCATTTGTTAGGAGCCACTAGTGTTAGTGGTATCACCACGGTTAAAAGCGGAGGGGGCAGTGGAGACAAAGGACCATCTGAAGGTTGAAGTCCGGTTGATCCGGCATCATCACCGTTCCGAGACTGATATGCGAACTACTGGAAGAAAATGAGGCCTTGTGATACGGTTTTATCCAAGTCATGCCCTGAGGCTCTTCACAATGTTTGGTGGCATTGATTGGAATGATTGGAGGAAGTCAAGCGATTGAGTTGCGGAACAGGAAAGACTCTCTTCCGGCGGGGGGCGTGACCATGGATGGTGCAAACATATGCAAAACGCAGCCAAGGGAAAGGGAACGGGATTGTCACTGCCACCCATGGTTTCCTGGTACTTTATTATCACCACTACAACTACAATTCCAATGTAGATCCCCACTCACTTTGGAACCACGGGAGCTTGTCGACAACCTGGAACATATTGGAGACTACTTCCCCTTCTCACTTCAAACATTGAGCGAATCAGACCATTCTTATTAAGGGAGCCCTGCTGGGGCGAATGCTCAGCTCTTTACAGGAGGCAACCGGACTATACGAATTAGATAAGCTGGTTGGTGTCCCACTTTTATGGTGATCCATGCCATCATTAGATGGTTTCTGGCCGTTGTTAGTGCGCTTCGTCGAGGACCCTCTTTCGTCACAGCCCACTCAAGACTCCCAAAGACTATTGTTTTTCTTTTTTTATTCTTTACCGTCAATCACCATTCTGATTGTTATCCTCCTTGTGATTTGTGGTTTATTATCTTGCTCCTTGCTTCTCCTCGCCAAAGCCCCTGTGAATTACTATCAATCTTCTGTTTTCATAAATATCGCTGTCTTGCCGCTCGTGCTGTCTCACTCGTGGCCTGCAGGATCAGGCATCCGAAACTAGCTCCTTTTCTTTTTTGCCCCTCAGCCTTAATTTAGTTCTTCGACGACTTTCCTGGACTGGTGCCCAAAAGATTCGATTTCACTCCAACTGCAGAATTCTTCCCCATTCTGTCTATTTCATGTAAATTCTTTGTGTCCTCCACCTCTGATTTGCCTCTCCTTTTAATCTTCAGACATCTCGTTGACAAAGCTTATCTCAGTGCTTTGTTCTCTTTGAATCAAACGTTGCCCACCTCCGCATTCCACGATTAGATTTTGTACCTCCCATTGTCTGTGAGGGATTGGAATAAGCCCTACTACGCACCCTCGGCCCATGTCTCCAAGTGGCTCACGTATTATTGATCCCATGCGAGCCTCCACCGGAACGGTGCAGCTCAGCTCCTCTTATGACCCCTCCTCCGCTAGTCGATCCGCATACTCCGGCTATCCGTCCAGCGCGCCCTATGTGGTGACAGCGTACGACCCACGGTATTTTCGGGAAGGAGGATTAGAAGCCCAGCGAGTCTCATCAAAAACTTATCGAGATGCTGGCCACTCAACCAAATTGCGAACCGAGTATGAAGTTCGCCCAAGACAACGGAGCAATACTACCTCCGCGGCAGACGCCCATTTGGCTCCTGGTCGGCTTCATGGCCCCAGAGCCCCTCCTGTCATAACAACTCACTACCGCCGTTCTCCTAGCCCTCTCCCAAGCCATGACCATCATCCGGTGCATTCCTCTTCGCCCCGGCGCCACCGGCGCCACCCTCTGTCCGTCTCTCATATCGATTATGCCAGTGATACAGGAAGGCTGGACCCGAACGATAGAGGGATTATGTCACCGATAGTTCACAGTGGTTACAGGGAACAGGATCCCAGTAGACGCTCGCGATATCCACCTACGGGAGGCCTTCGCAAGGGGGAGGACATTGACGATTATGATGCTTATTCCTATACCAATCCTCGCGAACAGTTTGAGAAAGATTCTGCCGCGCGAATTCACCACGATCGGGGCTCATACTGGAGGGAGAGGCCCCTGAGCTTGACCGGGATTGATGATCCTCAGCTAGTGTCAAGAAGCGGACCCCGATCGCCAAAGCCTCCTCCATCTACAAGAGGTTTCGACAGACTGGAGTGGGACCCAAGGGTACGGCGTCCTATGCAGGGCTCTGCTGATAGCGACGTTGACGTCGCCAGTGCGCACCGGCGGATGGGGCGACGAAATCCGGTTCATCTACACCAAGAAGCGGATGAAGGGTACTCTTCATACAGGAGCGATTACGAAGATGCTCACCGTCACCGGCATCGGCATCGACGGCATAACAGCAGTAGGAGTAGTCGACAGCCTTATGATGACGGTGCGTCAAGGAGCTCCATCACTAATGAGCCTGCTCCCCAAGGCACTACTACTGGGCTAGGGACGGCTGTCTTAGGAGGTGTATATGATGACCATGAATCTCAACGAGCCGAGCGCCATCGCTCTTACGATCACGATACGCGAGAGCGTCAGAATCGACCGCAGAGGCCGTCTAGACGCCGAGCCGACAGCGATTCCGATGAATACACTTCTGACGAGGACCTGAGGAAACACAGACGCGAGGCGTCGGCGCGCCCGAAAGCTAGCCGATCTGATGACTCTGCAAGCGGCAGCGAGCGCCCTCGACGGCGCCGGTCCCACTCACGCCATCGTCCGCAGAATAGCCCTACCAACAAGGAGATGATCCAGGTAGATCGTCAGGAAGATAAAAGGGCAGAATCTACAGTTTCGAAGGACAGCGAGACTCCACCGAAAGGGATTCTAAAAACTCCTACGGATAAATTCCCAGAGGAACCGAACCCTGTACGAGAAGGGGTGGCGCCTCTGAAGGACGCGCACAAGAAAGGCATTCCTCCCGGAGCGCGATGGACTAAGATTGATCGTCGACTAGTCAATCCCGCGGCCCTGGAAGCTGGCCGTGAGCGCTTCGAGGAACGGTCGGACTACGTGATAGTCTTGCGGGTGCTGAGCAAGGAGGAGATCCAAGCGTATGCAGTCAGGACACAAGAGATACGAGGTATGTTTGACCTGAAGGACCCTAGATCCGTAGGTCTTCAATACTAACAGCTTATAGATGCTCGCTACCGTGAGTATGTTCAAGAGCGACGTCGGAGGCGAGAGGAAGATAAGCGACGTGGTCGTGCGGTTGATGACTTCTCAAGTGACGATGAGGAAGATGACGACGATTCTCCTGAGGGAGTCGAGGATAAGCCGGCAGAGCAGCATAAGATGGCGGAGCCTGTGAAGTCAGCAGGCTAACCGACAACATTGGTCATGGACTTGGCTCTTGTTCCCTCTCTTGCCACCTTCTGTTATTTTCCTGTACTTTTTTTTTTTTTTTTTATTTCAGTTTCATCTTCTACGTTCCGCAATCCGATTGTTCGGATCTGCGCCGTAGTGTACACATATGAAGTCATGTGCTCATTTCTTGGATACATAATGGGATGTCGACGATTACAATGTTAGTTCAGCGTGCAGATGAATTGTTGATCATGATGTTGTTCGGTGTTCATGTGGAAAGCAAAGCGATCAATCAAACGTGACCATGATGTTTTGGCTCTATGTTGCGGGTTATTTATTGCATCATTGTATACATCATTTGGGCCAGGTCCGGTCCCCAGCAAACATGGAGAGATCCAATGAGCAGGGGAGGAACGAATTTTTGCAAGTCTCCTGACTGCTGTTAGAGAGATGTTGTACCACCGGAAGCCGCTCGCTGACTGGCTGAGGACACGAAGTTGAAGAAGGGAGGTAAGCTCTAGCAGGACGCTGTGTACCTCCTCAGAGCGGAGTTGGGTGCTTCTGCAGAGCAGCCCGTCCCTTCACGTTAGCACCTGTAGACACTGTTTGTTTGTTTCTCTTCCATTTACGTTTCGATTCGAAATGTTGAACGCCAATATGCATTCGGAAAGAAACCACATCTCTCACAAGCCGCGATGTAAGCCCTAGATTTCGATCAGCGTCGGACGTCGCATCGCCCGTGTTTAGCTTCCTTTTTAGTTGAACTCTCGAGATCCTATAGGCGCATCCTAACGCAACTCTCCCGTCGCGGATGAACATGTTGTATCGCACGCACGTCTACAAGGAATCGACGGGAAGACATGGGTCCCCTGAAACGTCTTTTCGCCCGTCAACCGTTGAATTTCTTTTTCTTTTTCTTTTTTTTATATAGTAAAAAAGAAAAATGAATGATAGACATAGTTGTTTCTTTTCTATTATTATCCAACCGGCCACCTGTCATGAAGTGAGCGGACATAGTGCTCGAAACAAAAACAACCATGCATTTCCCCTTCGATGCGGGAGGGGTGTGACAATGGCGTCCTTAGGCGCCGGAACATCATCTCATCTCATTCCCTCTCCTCCGCGAAAAAGAAAATCAGACGAGGCTGGTTGATTATAGGATGTGCGGGACAACTTCTGAATCCCAAAGCCACTTGGTTCATGACGGCCAAACAAACATCCATAGCTAAGCTAAATTTCCCGAGGGCCCGAGGATCGTTGCATTTCCAAGACCACTAGCATCCGAATGACGAAAGACGGTGGTGATGCGCCCCCCCAATCACGTCGGAGGCTGGCTGTTGGATGCGTTGCCTGGTGGTCGACAATCCTTTCGGAATATCGGCATGGAGCGCAACTACTTGTCATAGTATCTTTCTGATTAATCGGACTACTTTGGTGTTTGCTCCAGGATAGGTAGTGATGTGCTAAACAACGATACCACCTCCCGCATTCGAGACCAGGAGATACTGGACAAATGTACGGGGACATCGAGTCATATTGCCCGTCGTCGTATGGATGTACGTATGTACATGCCTCCACCATGCACGTCCATCGTTCTGGTAGGTATGTCTAGGAGGCAAAGGGATTGTCGTTGATTTGAATTACTCCTCCAACGTTTCTGCATCTAATTAATAACGGGGTAAAAAAAAGAAAAAAAGAAAAAAGAGAAACGAAAACGAAAAGAAAAAAAAAAGACAAGTTTGACACAGCTCACATTCCGTTAGACCTGTCGGTGAATATTTAGTAAACTTTATGATGCGTTGCCTTAACTTACTTTTCTGCATCGGTTTTGCTTTTTTCCTTTTGTTTTTTGCTCCTGTCTCTCGTGAAGATTCTGTATCAATTCTACGGATGGACTTGGTTCCACGTCGGAAGATACTTCCCGCCGTCTTCTGTATGTTAGAAGGTAGGACGTATGTACGGAGTACTGGGTATGTCTTCACGTTGACAAGTCAGTCAGGACCCGTCTTTCGGCGTTCTGGTAAACGGACGGTAAATTTCAAGGGCCTCGGGATGTGCCCTCTTTTTCGCTCCGCCAATCACCCGCCACTAGTTCGCTTTTGGCGTCAGTGCGAAGGGACCCAAGGATGAAACATGAACATGGTCTTTAATTGGACCTGGTCGGTTATTATTTGCTGATTTCGCGTAGATATCCGCTACTATTCCCCTTCTGTCCGGAGAGGTCGGGGGGGGAGGGTTGCGTCTTTTTACCCCAAGTCCCCCATTCCTACCGGAATCCCGAGGTAAAAAAAAAGAAAAGAAAAGAAAGAAAAGAAAAAGAAGAAAAAATAAAAAAACAGACAGACAGACATTTATCCCAGCGATCCCCTGAACGGGCCGAATATGGAATTGAGAACAAATGTGGCCCATTAACGACCAGGGCATGCCAGCCCTCTACGAGTCAGTTAGATTAGGACCGGACTAGCCACTATACTAACTATCATTGCAAGTGCCAGTGTGTATAGTATGTACGACGGAGGGGAGTACCCGGCCCACCCTTTACATGAGTTCTGTGTGCGCCTTTTCGTACAACCCTACAATCTATTTTTTTTTTTTCTTTCATTTTCTATAATTTTTTTTATTGTGGTTTTGCTTGTTTTTTGTTTAGTCGGAATTACGGAGTGCGGATACAGACTCGTGCCCCGTTTTTTTTCGAACCCCGTGTTGTTTTATTCTGGCTCATGCCATCAGCTAAAAATAATCTATTACACTCTCTAGGGTGGTAGTAGTTACTTGACCCTGAGTTACATGGTTCGAGGCTATCCTCGCAAGCTTCCTGTGCTAGCCGTTTGTTCCCTGGACCAGTGAAGTAAGTACGTACTTTACAATCCATGGGAGTTCTCTCCGTCGGTGGGGCCGGAGAATACCGACTGGTCTTTTGGTTAGGTACTATGTAGAACTTAGAAGTAGTTGGAGTTACCAGTAGTTACTGTTTGGTTTATCATGTTTGAGGGCTCAGATCACATGTTCTTCCACGGGGGACAAGCTAACTGGCTCTTGACAATCATAATATAGATGGATATATATATTAATTTTGGGGTTTATGTATTGATTTCTGCATGGTGTTTGTATCACCTTAACTAGTAGACCCTGACAAGGTAGTATTCCCCTACTTGTCCATCCCAACAGAGGCGATCATTCGATATCAAATGCTCGTCGAATACCTCAGCATGGTACGCGTACAGTCACGGCCGATTTCCCAAGAAACTAAATCTCGGGTAATCGAACCTCACCCTCCGCGCCAAAATAACGTTTGGTTAGTAGCGGCAGAAGTTCGGTCATTTCCGTGCGACAGCCGACGCGAGACAATATGGTTTAGCTTGGCTTAGGGAACCATAAAACGATCCTGTTAATAAGTTAGTTGTAGTTGACTAACTAGTCAGGAAGCTCCGTGTTGGCTGGATTACTAAGTCGCAGGCCAGCACTGGCGATTTAGTTCTCATGGATTATGGATTGTGTGTCCTGTACCTAGGCTACTAACGCTACTAACGCACGCTACTCCACTAACATCGTTGGAGTTGGAGGGTTGTTTCGACCGGGCTGCCCGAGCTTCGGCCACTGCTTTTTTTTTTTCCTTTCTCTCGTTTTTTGTTTTTTGTTTTTTCTTTTTTCTTTTTCTTTTTGAGGTCGACCTGCCACCAACCTTATTTAGGTAAGCGGCTCTTTTGCGTCCGTATTCCATCTGCAGAGTGGATTCGCTTTTTGTTGTCGTGGATCTGCATGCGGAGAAAAGCTATAGTTGGAGTCATAATCATAATAATAAGCCTCGTTATAATAGTAATAGTAACAGCAAACCCCTCCTTGGACTGGACTGTTGGTGTTGGATGGGAGATACTACCTGTCAGCCTTACTTTGGTTTCATTTGACTGTCTGTTTCTGCCCTGTCAATGGACATGCAGGAGTAGAATGACTGGACGAACGCGGATTCTGGAATGGCCTTTTTGGGACATCCCGGTCTGTTGCGGTAGGGATCGGCATTAAGGTTGTATGACCACGAGATATTCTCTGTAATAGGCTTGACAATAGTACTGAGCACGAGGGAACCAAAGTACGATAGATAGGACCGAGCCGAACAAGTGGTTCGAATTACGAAAAACAGAGAGAATGAGACACAGACAAAGAGAGGCAGCAGGTGAAGTGGAGTTCCACTGTGCTCCAGTTTCCCTCCGCCCACCCCCCCTGGTGGGGATCATCACACAGACCAGTTTTCTTGCGCAGGAGGTCGGCGATAATCGGCCTGGCGAGACCCGAGCTTTACATCCGAGTTCATGGGTATAGGGATGGAATGGGAATGGGAATGGGAATGGGGAGAACTAGTGCGGTCGGAGTAAGGTGAGATGAGGAAAGTAAGGTAGCTTTCGGCGATCTACCACGGAGAACTCCCTCGGATGTTTTCTACGGCTGGTGTATCCGATACTGGGGCCGTGTCGTGCCATGGGAGGAACAATTTCAAATCAGGGACCCATGGTTGAAGAATGACAAATCCAGATAGGGTTCCTGGAGAGCGCTTTAGCTTTTTCTGTTTCCTTTTGTCTCAGCTTTTTCTTTGTCATAGATCCGAACGTTGGGGAAAACTTGGATCACCTGTTGAGCCAAGGTTGCAAGGCGGAGCTCGTGAGTCGTCGGGGGGTAGCGCTACCAGGGACTGGACAGAGTGCCAAGGAACGGCCAAGACGATCAAGATTTCGTTTCCGGTCTAAGCACTTTGGCTGGTCAGAGAGCGAGCCTTGTGGAGGGTTTCCCTCCTTTGACAGGGCCCCGTTGGGGACCGGACTGAAAGGTAGAGTAGCATCAGTATCAGCTCCAGGTGGTTTCGCCCACCCCGTAGCCATTCCCCAACGGTTAAATAATAATTATTATCTTTGCTTTTTTTTCTGGCTGGGTTGGCATTCGGCGATCATGGGCTAGTCTCGCCGATAGGACCTTACCGTCTCCGCTATATCCGAGAAAGAGTAGATTATGATGTTATGGTTCTGGCG